CCTGCCATCTCTTCTGTTCCTTTACATATTCAGGATGTTTGGCAATCTTTTACCCATGATCTTCACAAGCCAGATGAGGGGATTTTCCTCTACCACCTTGCTGATCAGTCTGCTTTGTGGAACTGGAAGATGGGGCTAGCAGCTTCCAAGCAGCTTGAACTGCAGGAATGCTGGCACATCACCTCCTTCATGGTCCAAACCATTCGAGTAAATAATGAAATTGCTTTTAATTAAGTGTTCAGCATAAATGATAGCACAGTTAGTTATTACACTGGCTAGCAGAGGTTAAACCACAGAAGTTCCAAAATTAGATTTACACTGGATGCACTTTTCAAACATCCTCGCTGGGCTGAATTTCTCAGGAGAAGGCAGGACTGGTGTGAGGCTGTTATTTAAGAAGCTAATGGATCTACACCAGTATAGCTTCTCAGTTCATCCAGCTCAGTCCCTTTGCTGGTTCCCCACTACAGTGGCAGAAAAGGAGTCACCAGGTATTGACTACAGCCTGGTGTAGCTAAAACGTAAATCTATTTTATCACACACACACACACAGAAATATATATATATATATTTCAAATGTGGTCTATTGTTTCACCTATTCACAGGGCACGTGCATTGAAATACAGTGTCTGAACAGATGCATACAGGGAGACTGTGACTCTGGAACAGACCTATTGCATCTGTGATCAGGACAATGCTACCTCAAGTAGCTAGTTTGAGTGTGATATACAATCCAGTGCTATCAGCATGAATAGGGCATATGGTCCCTAAGGTTTAACAATCTGCAGCAACTCAACGATTGGTCGTTAATATAGGCAACATCTCTTAGGACATCAAGTCCAGGACCAGCTTAACACACCTGTTGGTGGCTCTAGGGCAGATGTGAGCTGCTGTTATCCCAGTCAAAACACAGGATGGTAGCATTAACACATGACCACAATGCATTCCCTATACATCTAAACACATATACATACTCCACAGAATTTTATGACCTTGACAGATACTATAAGGCGTGGAGGAGGCTGCTGGCAGAGACAGGGAAGAGACTCGGAAACAGGTCTTCTAAGGATGATTCATACCATCTGCATCAGAGGATGTGAAAGGGGAACTTGCTACAGTGTAGGCAATGACCACATCTGCCAAATGTGCAGTATAAAATTGTGCTGAGACTGCTTTTCTGGAAAAGCCCAAAAAAGTCAGGGTCTCCAGACCAACTCCTTAACCTCTGTTAGTTATAATTCTGAGCTAATGAACCTGAACAGAGTAACCAGCATGCAGCTTTGGTTGGAAAAATATAACAGGGTAGCAATCTGAATAAATCTGTGATGCCAATCACAGCAAGACAAAATGTACAAAACTTGCAGCATGAAGACTACATGATCTTCTCTGTCTTCCTCCATTAAAAATCAGCTCAGTAGTTCTCCAATGTACACACAACTTGGCCAGAGAACTAAACCCATTTTTCAATGTGCAGCCATCAAGACAATAATCAGATATTAAGAGCCCGGAGATCACTGAGATTGCTGAGAAATCCTCTTAGCCCATGCTAGTTGGCAATTAGAGAAAATCACAGTGTGAAATTTTAGTTTTTAGTTGTTTTCATTATTTGTTCTATAATAATTCTTACTCAACTGTTACTTTTTAACATTTTTAACATTAGCTTTTTTTAACATTTTTGAATTTGTTCCAAGTCCACCGCCTCTAAAGCTAAATTTAGGCAAACTAGCCAAGCAGAGAACTGATGTAAAAGGAAATGGTTTTGAAATACCAGTGACTGTAGCCTACAACAGGCAAAAGTACTATGCACTTTACTCAATCAGTCACTTTAATTGATAGCTGCTGGCCCATATCTCAAATATGCAGTGAAATGAATTACACACAGTTATTGTGACCTTGCAAAATAAATAGCAAAGCCCTGAAGACATACTAAAAACATATAAGGAAGTAGAACCATTTTCTCTGTTTTGTAAAACATTTCATTCAATGAAAAAAGCCAAGGAATACATTTTTCTAGATGATTTAAGATGCAGTATGCTGATGCTTCTCTTCCAATAGCAACAATTAAAATAACTTGCTTGTGTAACCAAAGCGTAGACATTATTTTTACTATGTTTCTTTAAACAGGGTTTGTATGTTTTTTCCCCCCTTTTTTTGTTCCATAACCTAATACTTGGATAGTAATTAGTGATAAATCTACACGAGAAAGTTCTGCTCACAACTCAATACATACACCTTCAAACTTAAAGCTGCTTTTCCATTGAAGTCTTTTCATAATGTTTTAAGGAAACAGGCAGGCATTTTGGGCTCTCAGCCAAGGCTTCCCTAAAAGTCAGAAATGTGCTCAGGTCAATATTTTCAGTAGCACTGTTTAAAAAATATTGCTTGAAAAATCATTTATAACCTGCAGTTTAAACATAAATGTAGGCTCTTCTTAGCTAAGGACTGCTTTGCAAGCTCCAGATCTTCATTTGATCATGTCAGTTAATTCTACCAGTCATTTGCCTGAATAAATAAATAAATATGAACCTCAATACATATGAACCTCCTCTTTGATGCAGAGCGAAAGAATTACCTTGCTTTATTGCACGAGGCTGTATTCATGCCCAAAGAATGAATGCTGCTGCTTGGGTGAACAAACAGATGAGAGCCATTTCAGCCTATGCTCCATTAAAAATAGTGGAAGGACACACTCACTGAATTAGAAAATGTAGAAATAAGAAAAATAATATATTTTTTCTGTATTTCAGTTTTTAGTATAGAGATTTAAAACAAAACCTTTTAGGATGATGACAGAAGCCTCTGGGGAATGGGACTGAACCTCCACTCTGCAGATCAGGGAAGCTGCCCTAAGCAGTGGTGACAGCATCTGCATTCTTGTCCTACTGTGGCAAAGGTGGACATGTGAAAGCCTAACCAGTGTGTGTCTTAATAAGGGATGGGTGGTCTTTCTTAAAAAGTCGTTATTTGCTAACATGTACCACTCAGTAGTATAACATTTTTGGTCTACATTTTCATTCAGCTTTATTGTGAAATTAATACTAGTTAATACTTGGTTCTTCAGTTGTTCTTGGATGCTCTTAACTTTTAGAAGACCATAGCAACGCAGAACTGTCCTGGGGCTATTCTATACTACATCAATAACGAACTGCTCAGCCCTGGAGGTTCAGAAATACAAACATAATGTTAAGAAATTTTTTCCCCTCCTTGTGTAGGCATGGTGGTCCTACAGATTGGAGCCAATACTTCTAGAGGTATCAGCCTTGTACTAGTGATTGTGTCTCTGCCAAGAGAAGCTCACACCCACAACTCCACATGAAATCAGCTCTAGCTTTTAGCTATTGCCTCTTGCATGGATTAGACTTGTTGGACTTCTCTGATTTGCTTGGCAGCTTTATGTAAGGAATGCATTTAAGGCTGGTTTAAATAAATATGATTTTTTTTTCAATTCCTTAATAATCAGAAAGATACAACAGTTAATAGAGCTCCCATTAAGAAATGCCGCAGTCTCTTCATTTTGTCAGAAAGAATTATTAAGGAGAGCAAAGGTCACACACATTGGAAATGTGCTTCTGCTAAAGCAGCTTATTCCTGGAAGAATAAACACAGACAGTACTGAATTACTTTGTCATCATTAGAAATTGTCAGAGTCCCATAGTGCCTGGGAGAGCAGACAGGTTGGCAACCACACAGGACCAGGAAAGAAATGCTTGCATTGAAAAATACAATGAACTTTTTAGTTTGGTGCACGTAGCAATCTTCAGCTAATAGTAATGGCTAAGAGGGGTTGCTGGGAAGGAGCACAGTTTTTACCTGCTGCAGTGGGAGAAGGTTGCTGGCAATAAGACTCTCCTTGGTGTTGCACCTTAGTGACATCATTTCTTGGTGAACGGCCAAGGAACTTTTTTTGAGAAAAACAAATAACAAATGTAAATATTTTTCCAGGAAATAGAAAAACAGTCTTGTGAGTATTAATTCCCCATTTAAATGGTACAAAAGACAAGGTTTTATGATTCACTTTTTAATTTTTTTTTTAATTATTTTTTTTACATGAAAATGGGATGTGGTAATGACAGTAATTATAAAATTAATTAATAACATAGTAAGAAGAAATTTAATGGACAACCTGACACTACAGATAATAAAGGTAATTTAAAAAATCCTTTCCAGATTTTAGACTGAAGTAATTGCTAGAATATTTTTAATGATCTCTAGCAATAATATAGAGAAGATAGTAAATTTATTTATAACTGGTGTCTCACAGCACAAACTTGTGCAGGTGTGGCTGCCTCCAGTCACTACCTTCATTAAGGCTGCAGTAATCCTCTGCCACTGCCACACTAAAGCTTTCATCAAATCCCGTGCTTCTTTGGAAGATGCTCACTGTATTCACCTTTTCTTTCTAAAGAGAAACACCTTTCCTTGTCCTTTCCTGTCTCACTTCCATTAGCCAGATGGAAGATAGCTTGGACTGTTCGGGGCATATGACGTATAGCTCCTTGGTCCTTTCTGATCCCTGTGTGGATAACAACATTTCAGTCTCTCTGTCTCCAAAGCAACTGAATTTTAATTTGACCCAACTGCAGTGTCCACACCAGCAGGGCAGGTGAGAAAAATGTACTTAGTAGCCTGTGTTTCAAATCCTCCCTAATGATCACTGGTACAAAGTGACCTCCTTTCTCAGGGCTGCTGTGAGCCATCACAAATACTTATGGACCATAGAGGTCTGACTGACCAGCCAGTATAATAACCTGTTTCTGATATAATTTCCCCTCAGTATAAATACAGGTATGTAATTTTATTTTAATAAAATCAACACTTTCCCTTTCGTGTTCCAAAAGAATGCATTTATAGGGGGGAAAAAAAAAGAAAAAGATGCAAGATGTAGAAACCCCATAAAAAGAAAAATAATAGATTATTCACAGTCTAATAACTAATATAAAAAATAATAAAAAAGAAAGTACCATTGCTACATAACTGATTTTACATTTCTGTCTCCTCAGAACTTTCAAAAAGATTATGGAATTTGGGCACCAACATCATTTCCAACCATGAAGGTAAATATCAACTCTCTTTAACTGGCCCCCATAAATACTATGTCCTTGACTCACATTTTAAACTTCTACAGAAAAGGCATTATTGTCCAAGTCATAATTGCTCAGAATACAGTTGATAATTCATTATGTCAAGAATTCTGTAATCTTTAAATATGTGTGTACATACATGTTTGTGTATCATATGTGCAGTAGGGATGAATTACTGAACCTTCCAGGCAGGATGCCTAACAGTCACTGCTCCCAGCTATGGGATGTTCCTTAGCGTCACACAATCACCAAGGGAAAGGGATCAGAGGGAAGATATCTATTCAGCACAAATATTTTCACAGTTGCTGGGGAGCTTACAGAGAAATGGCATTTAAAGACTACATGGGCAATTATTCAAATTGTTTTTATCTGAGAATTGCGCCAGATGTCATGGGTCTGTAGGTAACTGGAGTACCACCGTGAAGATGAGTACAGGTAGAACTGGGCCCATCACTGCCAGCTGCTTAGATCAGAATAAGAAATTGGAACCACGTGAGCATTTAGCAGGATAGAATATAATGCAAGAGGGAAAGAAAGGAAAAAATAAAGTAAAATTACTACTACGGAAAACTATGAACTTTGATAGTTTCTGAAACTTTCCTTGTCCTAGAATGTGTCAGAACTCTCTCAAGTCTTGTTCCTGTCATTGCAGTGATTCAAAATAAGAAAGAATGCAGCATTTAAAATGTTTGGCTCATAGGAAATAGCTTGTTAGAACATGAGGCAGCTTTCTCATGTACATTTTTCATGTTCTGCTACAAGAAGATCAAAACATTGTGAAGGATGTGTATTCAGCTGAGAAATGATAAAAATGCCACTTCTAGCTTAAGACATACTTTTGATATTACATCTACTGCACATCTAAAACTGTCAGGCTACAATGAAATTTGCCACCTATATTTTACACTTGTATTAAGTGAGAACATGAGAATTGACCTCTAGTAACACCATGTTTGACAATTCTTGTACATATAACTGTTACCAAAATGATTTTATAAACCAAGGCTGTCAAACACATCCTGTTGTAATCTTTCGGGAGACAGAATGCTACACTGTATTTTTAAAGCCATTTTTACAGCCTTAAAATGTTCTCTCAGGTCATATTAAATCATTTGCAGTGAATTATTTTGTTAGGCAGAAGAGCTTGTCAATGCTGAAACTGAGAATTGCTCTGTCAAGTTAGAGGTAAAAAAAAATCTGATTTGTAATTGAATCCATGTATTCTTTGCAATGGAGTACCTGATCTAAAAGAAAGCAAACTGAAATGTTTAAAAGTACAAGAGACAAGTGAAATTCTGCCTGTCTAGCTTCAAAAGCCATAACAGCATGGATCAGACTTGTACATGAAACTGCAATTTTATATTTCTTTTTGTACGTTTTTTATTGCTGCACGGCCTGTGCTTGGGCACCACCTGAGCCAAGTTAGCATTTGCTTAACTCAGTCTTGATAGTCTGAGCTTAATCCTCTGCTTAAGATTGGGTTTTTGCCAGAGAGCAGAGCTTAACTGAGGATTTCACATGCATACTTTACACCAGAACATCTTGCAAATATTGAAAATAGTGATTCGGGGGATTGTGCCATATTACCAATACTTTTGTGAAGGCACAGCATAATTTCCAGATTAAATGCAAGTTGACCAGAGTCCTGTTATTTTCACTCAAAATGAGAGTCACAAGGAAAAAGAAAAAGAACTACCCTTACTATGCAGATATAAACTAAGGATTATTTTTAAGAAAATGTACAATGTAAATCAAAATGAAATGAAGCCCAGCATGTGCAGGCTGCCATTAATAGACAGGGAGCTGGCTGCATTAGGCCTGGCCCAAGTATGTCATGGAGAAGGGGGCAGCATGGGGAGATGGGCCACCAGCACGCAGCACTGCCAGCTCTCACCTCTTGACTTCAGTTGTATGTGATCTTTGTGTTGAGTGGGAACTCTGTACGTTAAGCATGGAATAACATCGTATAACTAACTTGAAAAATGGGTTTAACTTCAGCTTAAGCCTGTTGGTGATCCCACATTTCCCCATGTTAATTTCTTTTTCTTCTGATGACATATATCATCTGTCAGCACTGTGGAAGGACACTGAATCAGCCTCTGTTCCCCGGTGGTTCAGCACTTTGAGGCTGCTCATTAGAAAGCTTCTTCTGACAGTAATTTATAGTCCAGCATTCCAGTGAGCTAATTGCAGGTAACATGCCTGGAATGGCAACTAGACAGTTGCCACTCGCCATGTGAGGAAACGTAATTATGTTAATTACCACAGCTCTCTGAAGCGCTCCTCTCGGCCCTGCCCAGCCATGGGGACAATTTCCAACCTGGCTCCTGTAGGCAGCAGCACCACTCTTGGCTCCAGGGGAGGTCTGCTTTGCCACGGCCTTCATGCACGCCACCACCTCTCGTTAAAGCAGTTGTGAGGTTACTGTCCTCATGGTATCTTTTCAGAACATTACTCAGAAAAAGAAATGCCTTCATCTCCCTTCCTTTTCACTGAGTTTTCCTGTGAAACAGGGTATCCTGCTAAGGGTCACCTATTTTATGCCAGTCAAAGCCTGTATTTTGAATGACATTTTTGCTTGACATCGGTGTGCTTCCCAGAGCTACACTCAGTTGAGGTGAGCTCATTATCGATACTTTTTGTATTCCTCAAATTCCTCTCAGTACTGATGCTAACTTTTTGAAAATGTACTGTGATTCTTTCCATTTAGGTCTTGCACAGGACGTGGTGATCAGTCATCCGTCTCGTGCTGAAATCTCCTGTTACATGGATCTTCTGGCAACTCCATTTTCTCTTCATTTTTTCACAAGACATACGAGAGGAGCCCAGTACCTGCTGCGCTGACACACTGCAACCACAGCACTTCAGCCCTGGGCTGACAGACAATTTTGTCTGAAGTGGCTCAAAAGCAGATGTATTCAAGTGTGTCTTTTTCTAAGCTGCTTTGATTATGACATCTATGAATTTGTTTTCTCCCTGTTATTATGCACTATAAAATCCCACCGCATCTTTACTTCCTGTTTTAAAATGATTAGAAGTCTAATGTATTTTGATAACATGAAATGTGCCAGCTGGGATGAAATGAAATTTTGCTTTGATTCAAGCATTTCTCTCTATTAATCTTCATACTATGTTTTAGAGATGTCTGTTTGGTTTTAGTTATATTTACCTAAGTTGTGCATAATATGTGCTGTGTTTGACTCTCCATTCACATCCACATGTGTAAATTTAGAATAACTGCTGCAAAGCCAAGGAAATTATACCTTAGATCCAGTTGTAAGAAGAGGAACTGCAGCTTTGAGCTTGGGTCTTTAATCACATTCGCATCCAGTGGATTTGCCTTTTATATCGACTAGTGCATTTCACTGACAGATATTTATAATGTAACGCAGTGATGTAAGCAGGTGCACAGAACAGATTACAAATAGTAGTTGTAGAATTAAAAATAAATCCTCCTGTAGCAAGAATATTTCTTTACTTCACATTCAATCTCCCATATGATTTTGCTCAGATTTCTGCTGACAAAACTCTGAGTTTATATGTAAATATTAGAACATGTTCAAGATTATTTTCCAAGTCTAAAAAAAATACCATTGCTATAATGTAACAGGGTTGAGGATGCTTCTCATATCTGGAGTACTGCATTTGAAGAAATGTGAGTTTCAGATCCTCAGTTGTGTCTTTTCCTCTGGCATATGAATGATCTTTTGTTTTTACATTTTGGTATGTACAAGTGGCCTCATTCCTGATGCAAGTGTCCACAGTTAACATTTGGACCCACTGCTTGTTTGCTGTTTCATAAATGGGTCCTCTGTCAAAAAGCCTTGCCCAAATTAGTGGAATGCTTAGACTCCACATCTTTATACAAGGTTGAGGAATGGGGAATCATTACTGGGACTGCTTGAAAGAGGAAATAGTAATGTGGAAATCTATGTCCTGAGGGCCTACAGTGCTCTGAGAGTCTACTGAAAATAAATAAGTTTAAATAAAACCAACACAACTCACAGGAACTGCGCAGAGTAGATACAAATACAGCTTATCCAGCAGATGGCATCTGGTGACAGTGGCAGAATCAACAAGCTATGACGTTTAGTTTATCTATCGTTGAACACAGACACAAACAGTGTTGAACTTTACTCAGAGATCATCCATTCAACTCCAAACCATTAATGACTTTTCCTAGTGGGAGACAGAGTGTGTCGGTGTGCACCAATACAGAAAACTTGGAAATATTGCTCTGAAAGAGACATTGTGTCTGACGGGCAAAGGTTGTTTTCCAGAAAACAGTGTTTTACTGCCTGGAGTTGAAGGTAGCACTTTGATCATGTACATGTACAGTGTGCTCTGTCAGATCTCCTCCAGGAGCTGTTTCTACATTTCAGAGTGGATGTGAGGGAGATCACTTGCCATCTCCCATACTCTTTGTCACAAACATGATATCCCCAAGTTGTGCCTCAAGACATGGAGTCCTGTCACACCGGTTAACTGAAGCTGGAAGGTCACTTTACTTCTCTTTACCTGAAACAGAATTAACCCCCTTGAAAATGCTAAAAATTTCTTTTTGGCATCCTCAGAGTGAAAGAGAGAGGAGATCTGAGGGGGGGAAGTATATACTGGAATATTTTTTACCTTGTCCTTGCCAGAAGAGCTAAAACATAATCTGTCTGGGCACTATTAGTAGCTGGGGTGAACTGAATTTATGGCTGTAAGTCACTTGCTTATTTTGGAAGGATATCTAAACTCATATATATTGGAATGGAGTTCAGGATGCTAGTGGTGGCATTTAAATGGCACAATGAATCACAAGTTGAGGATATTATTCAATACCTTATATTGTATTATCAGATTTGTGACTCATGGTTGATGACAACAGGTCTGGCAGTGTTCTGAATGATGCCTTCAGAAAGAACAATTTGGGTCATTTTCCTTAGGGTTATGCGGTCAAGGTGTTATGCACTCAGCTCACAGGGCTGTATTATTACGGGACAGCCAGCGTATTGCAATGGATGTGCTGTGTTTCACAAGCACTTGCAAAGAGACCTTCTTCCTAACTTTCACCAGCTGTCCTGAACTGTAGCAAGAATTTCAAAGTGAGATTCCTTGAAAGTATTGGATGCATTATATTATATACTTATTGCTTAAAAAAGCAGTTTTAATCCATGTCTCTCTTTTACTTCTCTGTGTAAATAGAGGACAGGGAGGAGGCAGAAAGGAGTCCAGTGGGTTGCATTGGTCTCACACCCTTCTGCAGCAGCCTCTCAGCACTGGGGATTCAGGTTTCTCAAAATAAATACATTTTTAGCAGGAAGTTGAAATAAAAAGAAGACAAAATGTCACTTCTAATCAAGGAGATTAAAGAATTGTCCATTGTAGGTACTCAGAATACACCTTGAAGGAACCACAGTCCAACAAGAAGAAAGTAACTGAGCTAACTGTGTCTAATATAGACTAATTAAAGAAGTTGTTGAGTTACCTTCACAGTGCTCTTGCCAATTCATGCTATACCCACTGTTATCAAAAGCAGTGCTGAGATCCAAACAAAAGCAAATGTCTACTCCCTAGTACTGGCTGTATATTTAGGCAACTTTACAACACTGGCCACATTAGATTAACATGTTTCTCTAAGGACAACTCCACACAGAAACCATAAACAGTGCTGGAAGTTGAGTATTGTAGAAAAATATCTGTGAAGGGTATGAACAGAAAGAAATCATTTACAGCTTCTTTCTTGGTAAATTTGTCTGCGGATGTGGATAGACATGGACCCAGACAAGCGGCTCTGCTGCAAGAAAGCTGCTGACAGTCTGAGGATTGATCTTAAGGTCCCCATTTGGGTAACATGAAGCAGAAGACAATGCACTTCTAAACCACCTTATATGATTCATATCATGAATAACACCACCCACATCTAATCTATGTTTGCCTGAACTGCCAAAACATTGCAATCTGTGAAGAAAGCAGCCTACTGAATTTAAAGTGGGTGCCTTGCTTTGAAAGAGCACCTTCTTAGGACAAACACTCCAGGCTAGGGAAAACCTAGGATGACTCAAAGTCTGGAGTGGCTGGTTGTGGTGGAAGTGAAATCGTTTCCTCATGGCTGACTCCTCCTTAAAGGGTCAAAAAATTAAAAGGTACATCTCCAAGTGCACAAAACTAGAATCTGTACAAGTTGGGAAGTTTCCCACTTCACAATCTATTGTTTCAACAGCAAATCCATTCTTCCACAATGAAAGAGTTCCTTATGTGATGGTTCCTGATCCATCACATACAAGCTGATGGAGGTATGCTTTCTGATTATACTTAGCTGTTAGGTTTTCTCACAGTTGTCCTTGCCCTTTCCTTCCATGCAGCCACTGGGGCTCAGTGAAACTACACAGCTGTAACAATGTCTTCCTTCTCATCTTTCCTCAAAACTTTGCTTTCCCTACTGGAGATCTGGTGGCAGTCAGGCTTGCTGATGCACTAGGATCATTGCCATTTGTGCTGATCATATATTGGCTCAAGGCTTCCATGTGATGCCAGAGCTGTATGGACCCATGTGTTATCTCTGAGACTGTAAATACAGTGGGACAAGAACTCCCTTGCTGTTCAAAGCCAAGAAAACCAACTCATTATCCAGGAAATGGCTCCCAGACACAGCTGTAATAAACCTACTAATGCTCACATAGGGACATTAAGACCATACTGAGAAGGCCTGGAAGACCTGGGAGGATACCGATCAGCATCCTTCAGGATAAGTATTTATTGTAGATAAACATGAGCTAATTTTATCTATGCTTCAAGCTGGTAGGAAAATATCAGGTTGGGTATAATAGATAGTTATGAAACACCACTAGATTCTTGCTCAGGTGACACAGTTTGAGTGTTTGGGCATGTGATAGTTTTAGCATAAAAGAAGGAACTTCAGTCTCATCATCTCACAAAATGTTTTCCCTAGTCCAGGCTGGATAAAACCATGTTAAACACAGAGAAGCGGTGCTATACGTTCTGAGCTTCCTCTGCTGAAAAGCAGTGTTCATTTTTCAGAGGCAGATACCACAGCTGGGGTTGGTGACAGGTTGACTGGAATATACACGGTGAAACCTGGGCATTTGTCAGGAGAGGCACTTTGTGGTTTCATAAAGATGCTCGTTTTGGATTTACACATATCTAACCCTTTGATTTGGGCTCTTGTCTAGGAATAAGTACTTCAGTAACAGTAACCAATTTTATAGGTTACGGTGGGCCTGAGATTTTTCTAAAACAACAAAAACAAACAAATGAAAAAGCTATTGCTTTTTACACCAAGGGTAGTGACAAAAACATGGAAGTAGAAACTTTTGTTAGAAATCGAATGACATGTTCACTGAGACATTTTACATCCCAGCTCAGGTACATGTGGTTTTTTTCAGCATTCATTCTCCCAGCCCTAAAATGAGCTTCCATTCAATTTCACTTCTATCCTCAAATCTTCCTAACAGCACACGTTTTTATATTTTATGTTGTCTTCAGCACAACAGCAATTAAAATAAACACATACACACACAGACAAAAAAGGCAAAACCCTTTAGTTTTTGTTCAGTTTGTTCCAAGAAAGAAAATGCTCAGAATTGTTTTCCTTTGAGGAGAGGTAAAAGAAAAAGAGTATTTAAAACCCACAGTGTCACTAGACCATTAAAGGGGAGCAAGAATATTTTCTCTTCTCCACTTGAAGACCAACTTGAGACCAAGTCTCTGACAGCAAGGTGATCCCAACGTATTAGACAAGTGACCAGCAGCGGTGTTTCTCTGCTGGTTTTTCCATCACTTTGAGTTGCCACTATCAATTTGCAAACCCATGTTTTCAAAATCCTCCCATTCTGAAGAGCTTAAAAGTGTCCTGTAGCACTTTAATCACACTCACACCAGTACTGCGGATGTACCTCTCCTCTTGTTAAGATGTATGATAAGAAAACGAAATACAAAAGAGAAGGATAAGAACAATATGAGTTTTATTCCCACAGACTTTACAGTTTTTCTAGCTATTGTCCCAGCCTGCCCCCGGGGAGTACCCAGAGAACATGATGCATCTATTGCTGTTGCTCTCTTGACCTCCAACACTGATCTGTTGCCCAATAAAATATCTCTCAAAGGACAGCCTGGTGTCACAGCTGGTTTAGAACCTGAGAGGACCAGTTCTTTGCATAAACATCTTCCATTTGTCCTTTTAAGAAATGTATCCAATGATTTCTTTACTGTATTATCTGCTAGTCAGTGCCCTCCACTTAGTGCAAAGCACAATGCAGAGAGTCATTAACACAAGGGAAGGATGTCACATAATGTAATATCCTCTGCTCGGCCACCTACTATTATATACTTTTGTACTTGACTGAGTAGATTAAGTAAAGTACAATAATTTATAAAGAAAGACTCATACAAAGAAACTTTTCTTTTGCAGCTTCTCTGTTCATCTCTGTCATGAATCTGCTCCCACATACTACAGTGGAAAAGATACATTAAAATTAATATTCTAAGCTGAGATTTTCAAAGGAGACTATGGCAATGAAGTGTCCAAATGTCACTGACATTCAGTAGGAGCTAAGTCCTTAACCCCTTTGAAAATTCTTAGCCCAAACCCATTAATGCATACTTCAAAGAGAGAGAGATTCACAGTTCTAGGAGTCATTTTCCTAACAGGCTTTCATTCTCATTTCTAACAGACCCTCCTTCCCTAGATCCTAACCCCCTGTTGGGGTACAAAACTGAATTGCTTCCACATCCTTTGTAATTCAGAATTCAGTTTTTGCTTTGACTTTTTTTTTTTTTTTTTTAAAGCTTTTCCCTTTATATTTAATGACACACAAAGATCTGCATCTAAAAGAGAAGAAATGGAACTCATTAATATTGCTTTTCCATCTTTTTCTTGTCTTACCAGTCATTACGCCTCCTCTAATTGGACACATGCACCAGTTCATCTAGATATATTGACTTCTTACTGTGAGGAGTTAATTTATTTGCATGTTGTATTCTTTGCTTATGGCCACTTCTCATACTTTACCAAAAATTAATTCACTCCCACCAGTTTAACATCCCATTTGGTCAGCCATTCGTTCTAAAACACAGTGCTACAATATTTGTAGTCTGTAGATTATGTCCTGAAGAGGACTTTGATGAAATAAATCACGTACAGAAGTTGCGACCTGACCTGATTTTTTTGCAATTAGCTATTCAAGTAACCCACCAGAAGGCAGGTTTTAATCGTGTTAACAGTCAAATGATGTTGTATTAGCGAATCCTTACTACAAATCTGCTACGTTACATTGACACCTTGTGGCTGCTCTATCACAATGCAAAGTGTTCATCTAAACTAGTGTAAATAGTAGGAATTATAAAACCTGGAATGAAAATATTTGCCTTTTAAGAACTGACCGTAGATGGATGCCCACAAAGGACTGTCTAGTCATATTCAATTTAACCTTTCATCTGATCCCAGTCCAAATTCAAGTATATATGTCATCCAGTGCTGAACATACAGTCAAGACCTATACATCTCCATCTTAAATACAATTCAGATCCCTGTGGGATCCAGCTTTGAAGTTTGTTCCCTGGGCTTACCTCAGCCTCCAGCAGCTCTGGCTGATGTGTTGTACTTCAGCCTCCACACTAAACGTAGGGAGACAAAGAAGGGACAGCTTTTGTTGTAATGGCACCTGCTGCCAAAACGGAATCAGATTCAAATGATATTTGCAGAAGGAAATACAAACTTTGAAGTATACTGAGTGGAATAACACTCTGAAAAGGTCAGATGGAATGAGGATGCTATGTGCAAGCAGTCATTTTTACTGCCTACCCAATGAAGGGAAATGGCATGATGCAGGAAGCCTATTTAAAACAGGCAGATGGGCTGTGACATAAAGCCAAGACAGCTCATCTGCTCAATATGTAATCATTGTGTTTGAAACCATTTTCATACAATCATCCTGAGTAACACAACTACTGTGGATTTACAAAGGAATGGAACTGCTGAAATGTTAATAGAGGGAAGGATTTCAAAGGGATTCTGATAAATTGGTTACTAACAGTGTTGTGGCCAACAGTCAGTGAATCACTGAGCAGCATGTAATAATTTCCCAGGAAGCCTGCCTTCACCACACAAGCCTTGAAGACAAATAATCAAATAACACTGCT